ATGTGACTACTGTATTATATGAAAAGTAAAAAAAAAACACCCTTTATGAATAGCTATCATGTTGCAAGCTCTGCTTTGTATGCAAATCAACTTTAATAGTTAGTTGGTGTCCAGTGGAGGGAGAAGTCAACAGTACTGTTGCCTCCTGAGAATCTACATCTTCAAACACTGCCATCTTTGAAGTGCGTTTTTAAACTAGTATTATAAAAACTATATCATTCTGTTCTAATAGCTGAAACATATTCCTGTGAGTTTTCATTTGTCGAATGAACTGTTTGTCAAATACAGAATACATATATTTTAAAATAATTTTCTTTTTAAAATGTGGATGAAATGTTTTGCTTTTAATGTATTTTTTATGTATTGTTTTTGATTTGATAACTTTGAATTAAACAGATTTTCTATTAGCTTCAGATCTTGATCAAAGTTAGGCACCCAGTTCATACATGTAGGAGTGCTTATATTGATTTTCTGACATCTTGTTTTCTGTAAAGATTTTATCAGATTTTCTCAATTTTTGTATGATATTTTCATACAGGACATCTGTTGTTCAAACTCAGGGAAGACTTTATACTGATGAATAAGGTGACCAAGTTTGATAAAGTTTGGAATAGAATTAGTAAAGTTATTATGCACACAATAACAATTATTAACGACGACGACAACAACAATGACAACAACGACAACGCCGGACAAAATTTTTCCCTTAATATACCTTTCCCTTCCATCTTTGATGGTACGGGCAAGGTAATAATATATTCACTTAATTGTATTGCACTATTTACAGTAATACCTGCACTAGGCACATGACATAAATTACAACTGTAACAAAGAAAGAATAAATATAGATTACTGTGGAATACATGTACTTTATTTTCGCTGGAATTATTTTTTGCTGAAAAGGCTTATGGGGCGTTTTGTATGGAATTTATTTTCACTGATTTTTGATGAGTTGAATGTGAAATATAGGAAAAAAAGTATTTTTGCTGGATTTTATTTTCACGGAATCGCCGCTTCAGCAAAAATAGCGAAAATAAATTCCAAGCGAAAATAAAGTATTCTACAGTATATGATTTTTTAAACAAATAAGCATGGATATGTAATTTATATTTTTTTACACAGTTTGGCAGGGTATTCCACAATCAACATTGCCTTATGATATAAGCTTTTCTGAATTATGAGTTTGGGTATTGATGGATGATTTTCTGTTTACTGCTAGATCTTGCATAACAAACTGAATGTCTGGTGCAAAACTCAAATGATTAGATTTTAAAATTAAATTTCATTCAATGTCAAGTTCAATGTCAAAACGCTGAGCTTTCAGCAGAGTAGAAAATGACGTAATAAAAAGTTACAAGAAATTGAACATCACCAAATGTGTGTACATGTAGCACATTATTAAAGCGAACCTAAATGCGGCCTTAATTTATAGTTGTGTATATTCTAAACTGTATTTGAAATAATATTGCAGTGGTTTATTAGACAGTTAGACAAAAACAATAAACAAAATGCCTGTCTCGATCAATCGCACACTCATAATGTTCGTATGTTGATACGCTTGTAAATAACATTAACGTAAAAGTCGAAACAACCTAGACTAGAAGTCAATTCACCAGTCCAGCCAACTATGGCTCCCTAAGTTGTTTATATTTAATCAGATACTATTTCATCATCATGCTTTGTTACCTTTCCTGTTTATAACTCATGAGGGCATTTTTTTTATAGCAAGATGGCGCAAACGGAAGTCCTTCGCAGGTTTATTGTTTCTCACATTAAAATCATCATAATCATTTTTTTTATTTTTTTTTTCAAATTTATAATCAATATACATAACTTGATGAATACAAACACCAAATTGGGCTCTATTTAGTTCCCCTTTAAGCATAGAAATACCTACAAATATTTCCACATTTTTTAAATTCCTGGCAATGTTTTGACACCACATTCAGGCTATGTCCTTCGTTTTCCTATTTTTATGTTTAATTTCATGCATAACACAGGAACTCGCAGTGACCTATTGGGAATAACGTTGCATACTCCATCACCATTATAGACACTGCAGCAAAACATTGTTTGTCTTGAATGCTTAGCTTTATTAAATAATTGTTGTCTTTTTAATTTGCAAATACTGTAAACCATTTAATTTTTACTACTCATAAGTTAGTGATATGATAATTGAGTTTCTTACAACAAAATTTTGCAGACGTTGCTATGAGCATGTCTTTAGGAGAAACAAAATGTTATGATTGTCACTGACAATCCCAGTAATTAAAAATTATAAACATAAAAAATGTAGCAACAACAATACATGGTTCTGAGAGTTATTACAATACCTGTTGTTTGCACGACAGCGTCACTAGCTCCACTGGACTCATCCCCACTTATAGTTTTTATTGTGATATTATAGGTCTCTCCAGATATCAATCCAGTCAAACTGGATTCAGTGGTGCTTTTATTTACAGTGACTGTCATTCCCGGATCACTATCAGCAACATAGGTTACATTATAATGTGTGAACACATTTGACAGAGGTGGCTCCCATCGTAGATGGATTGAATCAGTATTATAGGATTCAACAGTCACATTATATGGTGGTTCAGGAACTACACAAGTCAAGAAGAAACGCAAATTAACATGGAAATACATTGTGGAAATTTTAACTAGAATATTATAGTTTTATCAGTACATAATTGAAATATGCTTAATTCTAGCCAGAATGCATGTTTGTACATTGGTGTTCTCTCCAGGATCAGAAATTAAAACCATGGTGATGGTAAAAATTAGCTTTTGAGTTTTGCACATTAGATGTATTTTCATAATTATTTCCAAACAGAAATCATTAACATTGAAATATACATCATAACAGATATTGGAAATGAACCAGTGTAGCGGTTAGGGTAATGACAGCCATACCAGTGTCATATTAGCGCAGCAGCCAACAAACTACTGTGGTGAAACAGCCACACTGTTTATTCCTGGGTTGAATACTACATGTACATGTGTATGACTCATTCAAATGTGTTTAAAAACTACACAAACATGATCATAATGTACAGTATATTTATTTGTACTTGCTTAAATACTGTAAAATACTTTTGCTTGGAATTAATTTTCGCTGAAGGAATGATTCAGTGAAAATAAAATCCACCGAATAAACTCGTTTTTTTTTCTATATTTTACATTCAACTTGTCAGAAATCAGTGAAATTAAATTCCATACAAAACACCCAAAATGTCTTTTCAGCAAAAATTAATTCCAGCTAAAATAAAGTATTTTACAGTATATTATGTAAGTTACACCAGTACATGCACACATGTATGAAAATAACTGCAATGCACCTGGAATAGATACATGCAGAATAAAGGTGTAATGCTACCGCTACTTTTTTGACATGATCGCATATTTTAGCACATACAGTGGTAACAATATTTTAACACTACAATTACAAAAAACAAATCCCAAACATGATGCATATTAGAAACTAAGCATGTGTCGAGAAAGAGCATTCTTCATTGATTATCTGAAATGTGAATGAACTAAAAATATGAGAACTATTTGTGTATTGATGCATACAACTTTAAATAAATTTATTCAAAAACATAGATAACCTGTTTACCAAGTTGATTACCGGTATACATGTATACTGTGAAAAACTACAGATTTTTACCAATAGTACAACATTCCATAAATCTTTCAAATGATTGAACATGTTTAGACACCTAATTGTTGCTAATTTGTTCTTCTTTTTTTTCAATATGCAAATACCTTGACATATCATTTATTGATACAACATGTAACCATTGTGTCTTAAAATGTTTTGTTTCAATGTTTCTGCTTGAAATTTTCTCCATTGACATATTAAAAAATGTAAATTTACAATCATGTTAATACTCGGTACATGCTTTCAATAACATTTTAAATCAACCATTCAAAGAATAAAATTTTTATTTTTTTTATAATAATTTAAGCTAAGCAATTATTAGTTATTCAATGTTCAATCAATGAAAGAATTACAGTACTATAAATAAATGTATGCACATGTGTACACTGAATGAATACATACATTTTTGTATGCAAATGTACACTTCTGTAATTTTCACCATGACAATAAGTTCCGGGTTAGGGTACATGTATGAGTTTAAAGGCCTAGTAGACAAACGAAACTCAAAACTTATATCTTTTTACACATATACATACATTTGCAAAATAAAAGTTTACTAAGTTATTACAACAAATATTACTTGTACATGTACAACTTTTAGATTAAAAAAAGATTTTAACCTTACCACAATATGTAGATTTTGTTGCCAGACACGTTATCTGTATTCAGCTGCTAAACACAATGTTAGTAAGGATTGAATTCATGATATAATCATGCACATACAAATTAACAATAAATGCAACTTACTTCCTCATTCTTCACCTTAACTGTGAACAAAGGAACATGTTTTCATGATGGAAAAAGATATGCAGCAATAAAAATAGTGTTTTAAAGTTGTCCTCTTTAACCTACCGTATACATGTACAGACTGAAAACAAAAACTATGACTGTAAACTGAACGGAAATGTTAAGAATTAAATTATCTTCTGCAGCACAGCCAGACCAGCTAAAGAAATTAGAATATTGAAAACAAAATTATTAGAATCTTTATTCAACTGTTAGTAACCTGCAAACAGCAAAAGTTTATACTCCCTGAACAGAATTGACAATTAACCCATCCTATAAGAATAGAGAACATGAGAATCTTGCAGCTTGTAAATCTGTGAAATAGAGATGTATAAGAGAGTGGCAAGTGCCATATTTTGTACTGGGTGAATATATATAAAAAAGATGGGGTCATTTTTTAATTTTTACTAGAAGATGAATCTGTAACCTACTTGTTCTTTGAATTACTTCATCACTTGGTAGACTCTCTACATCATCTTGACTGACTGCTACTACAGTTATGGTATATTCAGCTCCAGGAGTTAGACCATCTACAGTACCTCGAGTGATGTTTACAGTTTCAGTGCCATTTGCTGCTTCATTTTCAGTAGCAATTGCCGTAATGACAAACTCGTCTACATGTTCACCAGAATGTGTCCAGTTCACAGTAATATAATCAGTACCATAGTCGATCACATTTACATTAGCTGGAAAACAAAAAGCATGCTTCAATGACATACTAATCCAAAAACCCCATTAGAAAATAGAATTTGTAAACAATGCCCATTACAGGAAGTTGAAGACAAATTACACTTTCTTTTAGTTTGCCCACGATATCAAAACAGATAGAAATCATTTTATTTCCAGTATTTTATTCCCCAAAGAAATCATTACCAACCTGCAAAAATTCACATACCGGTATTTAATGAAAGGTAATGACAGAAATATAATTAAACTTTTTGAAGAATTTTTACATGAATCATTCATTTTAAGAAATGAGCTTTCTTCGAATATAATACCTTGACTTTTTTTTCTATTTTTTACGTTATTATATTTTAATCAATTATATATTTATTGCTGTAAACCAATAGAACATTTGTATTTCGAAGGAAGCAACAAAGTTATTATTATGATAACATATCCTATTTAAACCTCTGTGCACCAAAGTCAACTTTTGACACAATTCACAAATTTTAAACCATCATTTATTCATTAAATTATTTTCAAAATTCTGTTTGTTTAAGCTGTTTTTGAGTTGGTTTGGCTTTTTCTGCCTTGTTGGATTTTTTTCTGCAGTTATTGTACACTGTTTTCAGAGTTTACTTCAATATTTCACAGTTATCCAAATTTTGAGTCTAACACAAATCGTCAAGAACATAAATGGCATGCTTGGATGACAAATGAGTTGGTCAAATGTCAATGAATCAAAAACAATTTGATGGAATAAAGTACAATAGCCATCATGTAGCATAAATTCAAATTACATGTTTATATTATGTGTTGTTGCGTGCGATCCAAATTAAATACAAAACAGATTGTGGAGTTTTATACATGTGTGAACACTATTACGTCTTTTCCCTGCATACATATATCAACATTGAACAAAATCAGTCAGGGCAGATTGAAGAAAAGAAGTCAGCTAGACAGACACACAGACACCCCACACTTGCATGTACAATGTGTACATAAAAAAAAAATTATTAAAAAAAAATTTAAAAAAAAAAGATAATCTAAAAATACTTTATTTTGGCTGAAATTCATTTTCGCTGAACAGACTTTTTTGGTGTTTTGTATGGAATTTATTTTTCCTAATTTTTAGCGAGTTGAATGTAATATATAGGAAAAAAGGTATATTCACTGGATCACTCCTTCAGTGAAAATTAATTCCAAGCGAAAATAAAGTATTCTACAGTAATTGACGTTGAGATTGGACTAACATTAGACAAGTGACACAAAGATTATATAGCATATATTGTAAGTGGGTACATGCAAGTACATGTGAACTCATATACAGGAAGGTTATCTTACTGATCACAACTTGTGATACTTAATGTTTCCACTGTACAAACATTCACAATATACATACATTTTAAAGAAAGTTTAAATGATTTATAAATTTGCATAAACTTACTTGGCTGATCAGGAACCGGAAGAGTCGTCGTTTGTATTTCGGTAGTTGGTACGATGGTAGTTGGTTCATTGGTAGTTGGTTCATTGGTAGTTGGTTCATTGGTAGTTAGTTGATCGGTAGTTAGTGCATCAGTTATTGTTTGAGTTTCAGTTGGAATGTCTGTTGTTGTTATGCCAGTCTGTGCATTAACATGTTTGAAATTTACCTATTGAAATATACCAAATTATATATATGCATCTACGTTACAGATTGACAGAAACCAGAAAAAAAGTTGTACAGCCCATTTTGAACTGACAAGTGCTGATCAGAAACAAATAATTTGTTTTCATTTGGGCTAAACATATACATTAAATCAATATACATTGTTCCTTTGTACTGTTTCTGCAGTTTGAATTGTATTGTTTTCAGAGTATTTTTTATACAAGCACCAAAAAATATTAGAATTTGCCATTCCATAAAAAGCAACGAGCCGTAATTTTACGGTATTTTACAGGGTATTTTCATCCTACCATATTAGGAAATGCTAATTCCAAATATGGAATGATTACACACGTAAGCGTCCTCTAATAATAAAAACAAACGTGGCTGCCACCAGAGTTTGACTGGATTCAATACAAAGAAGTTCGCTGATTGTATTCTAAACATTTTGGATTTCGGCATTACCATGGTGTATCCTTGGAAAAGATGTATAATAATAAGATTATTACGAGAATACCACAAATTATGCACTCAGACAGCACTCCAACTGTATCGTCTTCATGCATACTTTGAGGTATCCTCGTAATAACCTCATATAATCAGTACTTATTCAAATGTTCAAATTTCCCTCTTTACAGAGTAAACAACACCACCAATATTTCAAATGACGCATTCAAACACTTTCCTTTGCTTACATTGGACAGTGTGTAATGGAAATAAAATGACATCACTCATGCAAATCTTCGTACAGCGGGAAAAGTTTTTGGTTGTCACTTTGGGATATAATTTCTCAATAAATTGTTACTACATGTAGGAAAAATATGTATAATAATATGAGAGTATCCTGAGAATGCAGTGAAATTCGCACAAAGGCAGTATGTTGATCTTATCAACCAAAACAAACAATACATGCAATTGTTGGTCTACATGTAAGTGCACTTGTATTGGAGATTTGCTTTCAACAAATATACAGTATGTATACACTAAAAATGAATTTATAAAAATTAAAAAAAATGAGTTCAACAAGAAGAAGAAATTTTTGAAACTAAAATATTTCACGAGAAACCACATGTTTTTATGCACATGTAACCATATCCATGTCATACACACCCAACTGACAATAGAAGTGACCTGACTGTAAGACCTTTATAGACTCCACCCATTCTAAACAAATACCAGGTGCTTGAGTACACAATGATTTTGATAGTTAAGTATGCACACAACGTATAAGGAAGTAAACCAGTGTGAAAAATTGAGACGTAAAAACCAGGTTTATTTCAACACGAAAGTGCATGGATATAGCACACAGATTAATAATTTCAACGTTTGATTCACTTGTGTAATATCTGACCAATTACCTCACACAAATCTCATCTGATGAGGTGTTCAACCAATTAGAGTATGCCTTACTTGAGAGCAGTCGGTAACATGTGTTCTGATTGGTTTCTGATCATACAAGCGCCTATGAACATTTAATTTTGGATATATGGCGCTATATAAATGCATACTTATTATATTATTATACAAGACATGAATAAAACTTATATGCTATGTATTTAGACAAATGTACAATTGAGTCAGACACTAGCATTTTGATTCATATATATTCTGATATTACTATGTGGGAAAAATAAAAATAATGAAAAATTAAATACCTGTTCTTTTAGATATACAGTGTATACATATATAGTGACTTAAAAACACTACTAGTAGATACAAGTACACTGTAAAATTGTATTAAGTGTGGAGTGTCTGTGCTGCCCACTTGATGAGTTGAGGGGCAGGTAAAAAAAAAACCTGCCTGTACCAGTTACATGTACCGGTACATACACAAATCACAACTCATTAAATACAGTAGGTATTTATATACCCACAAGTGTAATTATTTTTTATTATTTGTACCACAGACTGACATCTTTAAACATCAGTTGATCTTAAAAAAAAATAAACATTTTAGGAGTTAGGAACAAGAAACAGGTTTTTTAAATTTATAGCTCCTGCAAAACCTCAACACTAAAACCAGTACTTACAAAATTTTAGCACATTAATCTGTATTCACTAACAATGAAATAAGGAATCAATAACAAGATTTGATGACTTGTCATATAATTGCCTGATTAATTTTGCACCACCAGATTTCTAGTCCAAATTTGTCCATACTTTTTTCTTATATTGTAAATACTTCTGGAAATGAACCATAATTTTGAAGCCAACAGACAAAATTTCGGTTAATTTTCCGCTTTTACTCAAAAAAATTTGGCTACTTTTGTCCCAATCTTCCAAAGGAAAGTGCAGACTATAACAGAACTATTTTTTGTGAATTTGTGATGGAAAGGGGAAACTGGTGGTAAAAAGTTTAAAGCTTTGTCACATTTATTTTTCACATGAGTTATGTTAACACATGAGTTATGTTAACACATGAGTTATGTTAACACATGAGTTATGTTAACACATGAGTTATGTTAACACCTGAGTTATGTTAACACATGAGTTATGTTAACACATGAGTTATATTAACCTATGAGTTATGTTAACAAATGAGTTATGTTAACACATGAGTTATGTTAACACATGAGTTATGTTAACACATAAGTTATGTTAACACATAAGTTATGTTAACACATCATCGTCTGAAAGCCTCTACGAATACTGTAAACACATTAATTATTTATTCCCTAGATTTCATTTTTGTAAAATTCGCTAAATTAAATTTACATGAAGATATAATTTGAATAACAATCAAACTTATTGTTTCGCTTTACGTTTGTGAGCCTAAAACCTGGTGAAATTGCTCAAACTATCAAAATTATAGACTATAACTATACAAGGTTTTACTACAGGTTCTCCAGTGGAGGGAGTGTGGTTTTATGGTAGTCAAAATGAATGGAGAAAAAAATGATGTTAGGCTATGTATTAACCACAAATTATTTCACTAACCACAGTTATTATTGCGGGGGTTCCCAGTACTCATTGCTGTGCAACAGGAAAATATGTTGACCTATCGGCAAAAATTTCATCATCGCTACATGGCAAGATTGGATAAGTGGTGAGCAAGTACTCAAAAAATCAAATGAGAAATCAATTTTTTGTAAAAAACAGTGAGCAAATTTATGTATGTATATTTATGTATATATACGGTACATATATTAGTATATCAAGGGTTGATGAATTGAAGTTATAATCTTTTCACAGGTATTGACAGTTATTGAACATTTATGACATTATATGTACCAAATATAACGGTTGAAGATTTCTTAATGTTACCTGCTCTGGCAATATGTTATTTGCTTTCATTTTCATTTTTTTTCTCCAAAGTCTTTCCGCAGAAAATAAATACCAACATATCAGAAGGTACCTGCTTGCTTAAAACTTGTAGGACCTCGAATGAAAGCAGCAGTTGTGTCTACAT